CAGAAACACCCAGCTGGCCCGACGTGAATGTTGTTCTGCTAGCCAGTGCTTCTCAAAACGTTACATTTCATATTTACAAGACCTGCTTGTAAGAAATGTCTCTTTTGCTAAGGTGGGTTGTTGGAAGCTAACTTTCAGTCTACAAGAGCGTCGACAATATCCCTTTTGTCATTAGCTGGGATAACACTAAGCACCTATTGAACACTCCTTGCTCAGGTCAGTTAGGCCTGTGGAAGCGCCACCACGATTCTATCGCAGTAGCCTGGTAATGTTACACCGCTGGCTTGATTTTTCACGCCTGCGTTTGTTCCAAGTAGCCCGAAACACGGTATATATCGATCGGTGAACTTGCACCGTGGTGTGCCGTAGTGGACTTCAACTTAACCGTCCGCGCCATCCAGCGTTTCACGATGGACGAGGCCGGCAAGTACACCTGTACCCAGTTACAATTGCCTATGGCTAACACTCCGATTGTTCACATCCATGTGCCCGGATTGGAGACATTTTGTGATAGACCAACATCTACTATTGAACGGTTGGTAATTTATTTGGTAATGTAGTGCGCTCCCCATTCACCCGAAGGCGTGAACCTTGGTTCCCGAGTAACAGAGTAAAAACGTATAAGACTGCTGGGACTAACTGTGCTGTGAACTTGGGATACATATAGATATATATATGTTTGGTTTGGGGACTTATCTTTCCGGGTTTTCCTGTCACTGCGGCCTTTGTAATACAGCCACAGGACGCCTGCACCTGCAGTGGGATCATGAGTGGCTGTCGCTGCACCACGCACCGCACTTTCGGCCCACCACATAGGCAATGTATTCACGTAAGAATACGGCGAAGAGGGAGTTGGATGAGAGCCAAGTTTCTTCAACGGAGCCGACCCACCCTCCTTTAAAAAGCAGAGCAGAAGCATACCCGCCTACTTGGAGAATCATGCGTACCAGATGTCTTGTCCCAATATTTGCAATTGGCCTATGCGCAACCCGACGTTAGTGGCAGTACCACGGACACGCACGAACGGTCCTCATTTCAAGGCCACGACGCAGTTGGAAGGGTGTATTCTGCATCATGACTCCGTACAGGCGTGATGAGTATTAGTGATCAATCAACAAACGTACAATCAAACAGTCATGGGGTGGTCACACGTGCGCATGTAGAATCACCAGTTAGCCTACACAGCATTACCCCTCTCTTAAACCAGCACAGGCATCTGAACTGAGTTGCGGGGTACAGGTCACATCACTTGAATGTTCGTTTTCGAACACTGGTTGTGTGTTCGGTTGTGTTACGTTAACTTTACCTTCGTCAACGAACGGAGTGTTTCGTGCTTAATGTAAGCTTCCGACCAAACAAGAATCGGTGCCATTTTTCACTGCACAGACGCACTTGAGTCTATTTGAGAATATCTGATAGTCTTCCTTCGTAACGGATGCTCCTCTCTTCATTGTTATGTAAACGACTGAGCCACCAGAACAAAGCCAGTGGAAGCGTGCTCTTTGATTTCATGAATATTCTTTTGATTTATCTTGAATGCGTCTAAATTCTTAATCAGTTACATTCTGACCCGGCAACACGCGCCATATGGGGACAACAGGTGAGTGGTGAGCATATGTACGAACAGAAATGGCTTTACACTTTTATCTAGTCGATGAAGTTGATGTACAACGAGATAATCCACTGTGAGCTAGGTGACTTGCATCTGTAAGTAATTATGAAGCAGGTATTTTGCAAGGAATAGTATAAGTAGACACAAGAGTGTCAAAGATTATGCACGATGGAATGTGCTTGGATTGCATTGAATGACATATTTACATACATATTACTTGAAATTTTCACGTAATAGACCACAGAATAGCACTCAGGAGGTATAAATTCCCCGGTCAGCTAAAAGCCGTGATAATTAGCAGTGTTGAGCGGAGAGGTACCATGACAAACTAGATAGGTGCGCAAAGGAGTTCCAAGTAATTAGTGGAATCTCAGGCGAATGCACCTCATGAACGCATTTATTCCTTCCTTCATCTGCATTCCTGGACTTGGGAATGAGAGCTATGGACAGATAGAGTGGAGCACAGGCCTGCCTCTGTCAAGCACATGATTCTGAACTACTCGCGATCATGCTTACCTAAGCTGTGCAAGCCCGGTAAATCATCAGCGTTTTTGGAAAAGTGCTATGCGGTTTGGGTAAGTTGAGTGGGTGATTGTCAGCACAAATAACATATCTTGGTTTTGCAGTTACTTATTGACTGCGTGGAAGCTGCGGCACCACGTGAAATAGGTTGCTTAAAGAGATCAGGTGTACTGAATATTGTGCAGTTCAGTTGAAGGTTTAAGGCTTATCCATCAGTAGCAAGTGCGGAACTCGTGTTAAACATTCTATTTGACAATTGAACAAACTTCCTGAGGTTCAGCTGCACCAAGTATGGTACCAGAAAACGCCATCTGCAGACACGGAGCAATGCTTGGAAATATCAAAACCCAAAAGCTTTGTCAGGCTGAGTGGACTAGTCCAGGATTTGTATAGCACTTAGAATGAAATCATGGGTTCTCGATCGGCTCAAAGTATTTTCCAAGATGTTGAGCGCTTGATGAAGAAATTAACGGCGAGATGCAAGTTGACGACTTTGAGAAATGCGCACTGAGACAACTGCATCCTACCGAACAGAGTAGCTTATTCTCTTGAGACGGAAAGTTGGGAAGGCGCACCTCTAAGGGCAAGTCTTCCCCGCAGCTGGCCATACGTACACCACGCCGTTTCACCCAACAATGTGCAGTGAAAATGGATAATATGCAGTGGAATAGTTGTTGTTCAAACTTGTGAGTCACGTGACCCCGTTGCCGTAGCTGGTGTAGTGGGATGTCGGTAGGTCTATCACCAAACAGCAAATATTTGAGTTGAGCACCTCTCACTCAATAGCACGCAGTGCTGTCTTCAACACATACAGAAACAATGGGCTTCCTGCCTGACTTGTACATCTGATAAGCGGACTGTGCAGAGAATGCATGCGTTGAAAAGCTATCCACTACCAACCTACGTGCACCGTGATTACTTCGGGTGATGGTTACACAGTATTGTATTTGCTCAGGATTAAACAACCTCATCCCTCTTAGGCTCCCCTCCAACCACGATCTCACTCATGGTTTAGCGTTATTTAAAGTTGCATAGTAAACTATTTTGCTGTTTAGTTGCCGGTTGGCAGCTTACCGGAATGATGCCCATCCGTTACCGGTAGTTCAGCTGGCATGCACCTGTTGCATTTTTGCCTTTTTTCTTTTATGTGTTGCGGCACAGTAGCTGAGGTGTTTTCCACCGCTAGCTAACGTGTATAATAATGATGGTGATAAACTGTAGACAAGTTTCAATAGTTTTAATTAAATCTGCTAGTCTAACTCAAACTGGACGAATGCTTGAATTAAGTCTGTATTAGGAAGCCTGTAGTTATGCGGTATTTGCTGAGTATTCAAAAATTGGGGTACATTTTGTTCTCCCTTATTTGACTCCAAAGGAGAAATATCGTTTTTGGATTCGTTCAGGTTTATATTGACTGCGCTGTTGTCGCAACATTTTGTTCAATTTCCATACTACTGTTTCTTACACGTTACTCCGTTTGACGTGGATTTCATTGAAAACAAACTTTCAGGATTATCTTAAGGAAGAAGAATTTTGTCGATATGGTCAATTGCACTTCTTTCCTACACTTTTCATCTTGGCTGTCAGCTAGTTGCTCAAGTACGCACGTACGAATATCATGTGCCTCATGTATATTTCAAAGTCATAATTTCCTCAGTGGGATATAATTACAGCGAACCAATCTATCCAAAACCGCACTTCATCACAATGCCCATATATGGTTCTGTCCAGAAATGCGCAATACAACATCTGCTGACATGGGTGATACAGCTCTCCAGGTAAGTGAAGCAACTTGCTACTTTCAGCAGTATCTTGATGCTAACGTAGCGACGTTATTTTTCTGTACTGAAATGGAAAAACGCAAGCCGGAGTTTGAGCTTGATTGGTAGTGTGCGTGTATTGGTTAGATCCAGCCATCTCGGAGCTATATTACTCCTATTTACGAAGTTTGTCAGGCAGTTGGCCATGAAATCGTCCACATCAGGGGACCAAATGGATCAGTAGGTGGAAAGGGTTTACGCAAATAACTTTAGGTCTCTTTACATAATTTGTGAAATCCCTACCTTGCTTTATGCGACACACCGATAGCTTACCATACTTATTCACTGTGGACAATATCTGTATCGATTGCAACGATTTATATAAAATAGTTTTCCTCTGGGGGTAAGCATCTTACCCTACACTTGGGGTAAAACGCCCAAGAGCGTCTTACCCGCAATGTGTGCAACTCAGCATAATTAATTTTCTTGCATGTACTGTGCTAGCAGTAAAAGACACAGGGGCTTATGCGATATGTACTTGAGTGAAATTGGTAATATGTAATAACAAAGAACTTGTTATAACCCTTCAACTTCATATACACTTAAATGACAAACTGAAACTTAGGTGCAAAGGAACGTAAACTATGTCAACAGGACAATTTGCCAGTAAGAAGGGCAACTGGTAGCAGATTTTTATGTATCAAGCAGGGGAGATAGATACGAAAATGCCGAGTCTACCATCTGGAGTGCTATATGAATTACAGTGGCCAAATATGCGGGTGGGCTTCTCATCGACAGTGGGAGTCTTATCCCACTCTACACTAAACACATCACTTTTCTGGTCGGAAAGTTAAAAATCAACACGTGTTGCATCGTAAAAACAGCATCGAAACACGCATAGATCCTAATACGACTGCATAGGTAGTTTAAAAGAAATGTTTTTTCATCACACAAACGCTACTCTTCTTTTCAGAAGCGTAAAATCACCTTAGCAAACCATAAAATGTGTCGATCACAGTGGTACCTATGCAAGCCGAACCATCGTTATTGCAGGAGAGGCATTTCGCGAAGGGGAAGTAAGCAGCAGCCGGTGAAATATTAATTACCTGGTAACTTTCTTGTTGAATAGCTCTTCATAGCTTTGCCCAAGAGAGAACATTTGGCAATCTCTTGCTTAATGAGCAAACTGCAATTGATCAAAATCAACCCGTATTTCTTGGACAACAGTTCCGCCTGTGTCTTTCTGCCACTTCCCACGTAGCCTAGCAGAAGGACACGAGGTGTCCTCAAAGCTAGGCTTCGATGGGGCTGCGTCACGAATGATAGTACCGCTGCGTATACATCAGTCAGCGGTTGGTTCGCATTGATGTGTCGAGCAACCCTGGTGTATATTCGGTCCAGTAGTACAACGTCTCTGTTATACGCTTCAATTCGCATCTGCACCTGTTCCGGTGCAGACTCGGGGGATAACACCAAACGTTTCTCAGTCTGCACATCCGGAGGTGGCTTGGAAATCAAGTGGTAACGTTCTAAACAATGGGAATGAACTTGGGGAGAAATGAATAATTTTACCTCCTGTGATAGGGTCTACTCGATTACCATTCTCTCGTTCTATCAGAGCTTGCATCGGAGCGTCAAGGAATACTGTTAGTAATGAGGTGATGTTCACACTTTCCAAATGTGCATGTGAATTATACCTGCGTGTTCGGGAAATATTCCTTCCCAAAGTAGTGCTTTTGCTTGCCGTTCATTTGTCGGATAACCAATTAGCACGTAGCCCCTCTTCTCACAATCTATTTCTTTCAAGCGCTTTTTCAATGCAACTGCCAGTTGTTTCGGGGTTGCTTTCTGAAGTAATAGGAGTTGAATATAAAAATTTCAGCTGTAAACACTTTGTTGGATTTGAAATAATTAAATTAACCAATTTTATCCAACTGCGCTAGTAGCCGAAACTCTCTTGAACTTCTGGAAGATATTACGAGTACAAGTCACAAGTACACTGATTGGATGAGCAACTTAATACACTGGCGTTACAACTGCTACGCTTCGTATGTATGAACCATTGTTAAGAATACCACTGATGGATCGACTTACTGGGACACAAATGGATTACTAGAGATTTTATTAATGACGTGGATCCTATAGATTAAGCTTATGTCACACATGACTGTCAGCATCGAGCCGATAGCTAGCGTTTTTATAAACAACTAGAGCTCGAGTGTACATAATAGCTGTCTGGTCACTATATGAGCGAATTTCGTGACTTCAGATAACTAGTTTTTCCGTGGTAACGATACAAGAAAAGACAACCTCTTACTACCTTTCAGCTTTACTTCATATCGAAGGGCAACGTTTCCCAAATAATTCAACAAGCAAAGCGAAACATCGACCATCTAATCACACTGCAGGCGACGAATGCTTACAAACGAAGTACTGAAGTACTTACATTGTTGGATGTTGCCTGCCCGAAAACACTGCACTTCTGTGACGCGTTTCGATGTTATTTCATATAATCAGATAGAGGTGGCAGGCATCGAATCGCGGTCAACGTTGGGATTGCGTGTCACAATCCATCCACACAACGTGTACTTCAAAATGACCTTCAATATCATTCAGTAACCACTGTGCCAAGTGTGTTGCGCGTAGTGACGCGGTGGCTGAGTAGTAGCGGTCAGAACTAACATCTCATTGGTCACGGGTCATTATCTAACGAGATGTAATAACATCGAAACGCGTTATAGTAGTGCAGTATTTTCGGGCGGACAAGGCCCAATTTCCATCTACTTCAGCTATGATCCTCGTGGTCGAAAAAGCAAGGTTCACTACATTTTTGTAGTGTTGCTCATCCCAACACTGGCACCCCAAGACCGCGGTTTCGTCCTGGTTGGGACTCATCAGTTGGAGATAGCCTGAGTTGGGCTGGAACTCAGAACCTAGTGGCTCATGGTTGACACCATGAGCACTATGCCACTGAGATCCGCGAGCAACGCTCGGAATGACCGAGGTCCACCTCAAGTGAACCGAGGTCCCAATAGAGGTTGCTTGTAGCAACCCAAGCACCAGCGGGTTCTCCAAGTCCACCTTTAAGGTTCACTACAATTGGAATCGCCGTCAACATTGGGACTGCATGTCGCAATCCATCCGATCAACGTGTACTTCAGAATGACGATAATGATGTTTTCCGTTGAAAGATAACCCTCAATCAACTCTAATCTCCACAGGCCCAAAGAACAAAGAGTTGTGCATGAACCCGAGTGGGCAGAGATTGGGAATGTGACCATTACATATTGCATTCACAGTACTTCGGCGCTCCGTATCGACACTACGCTGCCACGCAACAGTTGCCAATAGCACGTGGACAGCTACACAACTTCAAGTCGGTGACCGTTGGGTTATAAGAAAGACGCATTATCCCTCCTGCCTCCAGGCGACATTAGTATGCTCGTGGAACCGCGTAAATGAATGAGAACAGACCGACCAGAAACACGCGGGCATGGCTGCAGCTATTGTAAAACAATAACAATGAGGGACGAACAGTGTGACATGAGTACTTTTAACGAGGTCTAAAGAGCAAGGTCATTTTCGTGGGAGTTGACTACCCGAACAGTTGGAACTGAATTTGTGAGTCGTATACAAGTTCAGGCAACGGGATCACTGGGATCGTTGCATGGGTAGGAATTTTCCCCATGACGCTTCCACCTTACTTTATATCTTATATGACTTATGACTCTAATGACCAACGGGTTCAAGCTACAACCGGGTGCTCTCTAGGTAAACCGCTCAGTAAAAGACGACAGCCATTTTTTATTTGTGAATTGAGTTGCTTTTCCGAGAGACCTGGATAACGTAAGTTATTCGTCTGTCTGGGGTTGAACGAAAAGCTTGTTTCATCAAATGCGACCATCTTCCCGCTTCGATGAGCTTCAGCCGCATAAGCGAACACGACACAAGAGAATGGCGAACTTGATTTGGTCCAAGTCAGAGGTGTATAGATCACCTCCTCACCATCCGTCAACGACTTGAACATCTCAAGCGTTCGATTGACCAACGGTATTTTGTGCTTGTTGGCATAGGAAAAGCGCTTGACTCAGCTGACAGTACATAATGGCCAGACCAAGCAGTTGGACTGTGTCTCGCACTGTAGAAGAATATACCCATTATTTGTCTGTTTAGTTATTTACTATTTATAACCGGCTATTGCGGATAAGTGTCAAGATTGTATGCTAATATTCTCCCTGCCCCATACTGTGGCTGATGTTGCATTCATGATGCTTCCTTACCGCAGATGGACTAAACCAACTTACACTTACACTAGGTCTTTTTATGCCGGATAATTGCATTCCACTGTATTTGGTTTGTTATGCCCATATGAATAACCTTCTATTAACGTGTACACGTTGCTTATGCCCATTGCGATCATTTGCGTTAAGTGCTACGGGTTCTCACACTTCATGTGCCAATTACAGGGGCATTACTCTGATATCTGTTGCCACCAAGCTACTTGCATTTATCATGCTCCGTAGACTATCCTCCACTTGTGAGTCAAACTACCGGTAGGAGCAGGTTGGTTTTTACTCCGGTTGAGGATGTGTAGATTAAATTTTCACTCTTCGTCAACTCCTGGAGCATTGCCACTTCTACCGCAGACCCACCATCGTTACTTTCTTGGATATTCGGGCTGCGTCAGACGCGGTAGATCGATCTGCTTTAGGAAACTGCCCGCTGTCGCTATACTTCGCGCGCTCTACCTTTCCACTTTAGGCCGAGTGAAAGCCTAAGGCATGCTTTCCCCACTCTTCTCTGTCATCAGTGGCGTGCAAAAAGGATGCCCAGTCTCACCGTTTCTATCCAACTTTGCGATCGACTATATCCTTTTAGGAGCTTTAGAGGGCCTGCAGAACTTCAGCATCAAGCTTGTTCCAGGTAATCAAGCGACCGACTTAGACTATACTGCTGACATCGCCTTGCTCTGTGACAACCCACATGGGATGCAATCGACCATTGATCAACTGGCGATTCAAGCTTCTAAGTTTGGTACGCGCTTTGCCCTCTCCAAGAACAGAGTTCTTTTAGAGTTCGTATATAATATAAATATATATATATATATATATATATATGTATATATATATAGTGTATGTTCGTGACAGCTTACACTTAAGTTTGCATAAACACATGTGCTTATGCTGTATTCGAACTGCCATTAGACGCGGATGACGCCAAGCTATGTATATATGCATACCGAATGAATTCGACGAGGATACTCATACCGCTTTTGTACGGCTAACTTAGTGCAGGGAAACGGCACTCGAGCCAACCGAAAATTACGTTACCAGAACATGAAGAAGGTGAGTTTATGACAAACTCAGGTTCATTTCAGGTGTTGCGAATCCAAGGCAAATTGGATCTATGCGAACTCCGTGGACTGATCATAAGGGCGGTTGCTCAGGTGCGGGAGAAGGTACTATTGCTCGAGGAATAAAAGCATGATGCGTACGCTCCCATTCCATTTACCAATCCAGGCCAATAAGGCGGCGTATGTGGTACGTTTGCCTGCGTGATGAGTAATCTTGCATTTCAGAAGTCGATGTTGCTTGAGCTCCCCGGTGTGGCTGCGCCTGTTTATTACCCACTACCTCATTCATGCTGGCTCCAGGAGACAGCTGGTCGTCGCTGGAGGGGACGGAGTGCACCGTCCTCGTGACGGTGCTAGGCTCAAAGACCGGTTGCATCCTGTGTGGAACGGGCTGCGGTCCAGCCGCCGCCAAGTGTATGTCTGGTGTGCATGATTTTCCATTTAGGCTGAAATGCTTCTGTTCTGCTTGTAGAAGGAGTGTGGGCTGGCTCCGTTGCTGAAACGTGGCTCCCATGCACATGCCTCCCGGTCTTATTCCTTCGGATTTACACCGGATATGGTGTGCACGCGTGAAACTGTGGGTGGTGCAGCGCAAGCCACTATGGTCCCCTTTGTAGACGCAGGCGTCCTGTTGCTGTCTCCATGGAGGCCACCGTGACAGGCAAATCCGGAGACGGATGCCGCCATACTATGTATATATATATAAATATATATATATATATATATATATATATATATATATATATTGTGCCCCATGCTGAGGCTGATGTTGCATTCTTGATGCTTCTTCACCGCAGTTGGGCTAAACCAACTTACACTTAAACTAGGTCTTTTTAAGCTGGCTAAATTTCATTCCGCTTTATTTGGTTTGTTCTGCCTCCCTGAATAATGTTCTATTAACTAACCACGTTGCTTACACTGATTGCGCATATCTTCGGTAATTTTGTTGCGTTTGTAGCATTTTAAGTAACTTGTGGACATTTCTTACTTCTCACGGATTTGTTGCTAACCAACTTACTTCATATGGTAATTTAGCGAAGAGTTATGCCACCGTATCTGTTTGCATTATTGGATTTATTTTATTTCAGCTTGTCGTTTAAAGTGAATGGCTGTTGTTTGATATCCCCGGTGTGGTTGCGCTTGATGTGTAAGTTGACAAGGTCCCCACCAGTCTATTACCTACTACCTTGTCCATACTGGCTCCAAGAGGCAGTTGGTCGTTTCTGGAGGGGACAGGGTGCACGGTCCTTGTGGCCGTGCTAGGCTCAAAGAGCGGTTCCATGCACTCAGTGTGGAGCGGACTACGGTCCAGCCACCGCCTTGTGTGCGGTTGATTCCCCAAATACAGCGTGCTTGTGTTTGCCTGTGAAGGAGTGTGGGCCGGCTCCGTTGATGAAACGTGGTTCCCATCCGCATGCCTCCCGGTCTTATTCCTTCGGGTTTACACTGGATATGGGGTATGTGGTTGGAGCTGTGGGTGGTGCAGCGCAAGCCA